GGGAATGAGTAGGTGTGTCCAAACTTATGACTGGTACTGTATATTATCAATGTTCTTCTTCAGCCACAACTGAAGAAGGATATGGATATTACAGTTCTTCAGGTCCCCTTGATAGGATAGTCCCAAACTGAGCTCGTCCAGTTTGTTCTCTAGTGATTGTACGTTCGCCAATTGAGCGAAGTGTAAGAGGCGGTTTATTTACTCGTCGACGTAGTCTCTTCAGGGTTCGTTTGCCTCTTTTGCGCCGTCTCTCCAAGTCCCGGGGCTTAGGGCCTGAGCAGTACCTCCACAGCTGCCGACTCGTTGAAATATAAATCTTCATCGCTGTTCTGATGTCCAGAAGCTGTTTTCGGTCATATTAAATGGAGGAAATATTATGTCCAAAGATCAGCGTAAAAAAACACACAAAATAGCAGAATTGGTCAGGAGCCCGTAAGACGGCAGCTACCCATCTCTGCAGCGCCATCTCACAATAGTGAGACAATAGTGTTGAATGCTGAACACACACACACTCACACATGCGCATGCGCACGCACACACACACTCAATGGACTAATATACATACACACAGACACAGATACAGAAACACACACACTGTACATATGCACACACACACACACACACACACACTGGCACAGCCGCATCAACTACACCACATCAGAAAAATGAAATACGCTGGAGGCATCAACTGTTGAGGAGAAATCAGTGGTACCCATTTACACTACTAATGGATGTAACTACGGTCTGTGTATATTTGTAAACAACAGCTGGTGCACAAAATCAAATACTAAGGAAGTCTCAAGGTTTTGCTCGCCTGAGGTAGAGTATCTTATGATAAGCTGTAGACCACACTATTTACCAAGAGAGTTTTCATCTATATTTTTCATAGCTGTCTATTTACCACCACAAACCAATGCTGGCATTAAGATTGCACTGAATGAGCTGTATAAGGCCATAAGTCAACAGGAAAACGCTCATCCAGATGCAGCGCTCCTAGTGGACGGGGACCTTAATGCAGGGAAACTTAAATCCGTTCTATCTAATTTCTACCAGCATGTTAAATGTGCAACCAGAGGAAAAAAAACTCTAGACCATCTTTACTCCACACACAGAGACGCATACAAAGCTCTCCCTCGCCCTCCATTTGGCAAATCTGACCATAACTCTATCCTCCTGATTCCTGCTTATAAGCAAAAACTAAAGCAGGAAGCACCAGTGACTCGGTTAATAAAAAAGTGGTCAGATGACGCAGATGCTAAGCTACAGGACTGTTTTGCTAGCACAGACTGGAACATGTTCCGGGATTCTTCAGATAGCATTGAGGAGTACACCACATCAGTCACTGGCTTCATCAATAAGTGCATCGATGATGTCGTCCCCACAGTGACCGTACGTACATACCAGAGCATATAAGCGGAGTGGAGCGGGAGCGAGCGTGGAGCGTGAGCGGACGGATTTTGAACAGAGCGCAGAGCGGCATTTTTAAAAGGACGGAGCGTCGCCCTATGTCCCGCTCCAATTTCGCTCGCTCACACCACGAGTCTGAAGCATGCTCAAGCCTGACCCAGAATCCATCTGTTTAATTTAATTTGTGTCGTCCATGAATTTGTATTTTATAGAGCGAGAGGAGCAGCAGCAGCAACAAGAGAAAAGGGTTGAGGAATTCAAAAGTTTATTCACTGCACGCAAAGGCCCAACCATAACAAGGGAGAGAAAAAGAGAGCTGGATGTAGCATTTAAAAAAAATGATTTTCATGGACTATGAACCGCTGAGTAAAGGAGAACGCGAAGGGATGCAACACTTCGCCAGCGCAGCTCAACCGGGCTACACCCCCCCAAGAAACTATGATAAATCAGTACTTTACTTTGTCAAATTTACATCTGAGATGCCCCATTCACATGCTTCAGCTGGCGATCAAAAACGCCTTTAACGAGCACGACAACATTAATAGGCTGTTAGTGAAAGTCGGGCACCTGGTGAAAAGTGTACGCAAGAGCACAGAGGAAACCGACCAATAAGGTGTCCGCCCCACAAATGCCTGCGCCATTCGATGGAGCAGCCAGCTGCGGATGATTCAGTCGTTCATCCGGTTGTTCCAAAAAGACCCGTTATGGCAAAACAAACTCAAGTCTAATGTTGCTAACATCACCCTGAATCAAGTACGGCAGCTGACGCACCTTGTCAGTGTGCTGACACCACTAGCAGATCTCACAGACAAAATGCAGAAGGAGCTGGGGAACCTGGGGATGATCCTCCCTGCTGTCACAGAAATCAAATCCCTGCTCACCGATTACACTCACGCTGCACTTCCAATGGGCATCGCTGCTTTTGCAGAAACATTGGCAAACAACGTGTCAATTCGCTATGGAATATACTATACTGATTAACATCTCATTTTAGCGTCAGTGTTAGATCCCCGTTTCAAGACAGAATGGATAATCCGAGATGAGTCTGTATGCAACAAATTCGGGGAGATAAAGTAAGGCTGTGGTTTAAGCTAAAAGTGAAATACATGCAGATTTTGTTCCTTTTTTGGAGTGAGTGGGGGCGATTTGAGTGGAGCGCGATGCAAACTGCGTTGAGCGCTGAGCGATAATGAGCGGACTGGCCTGATGTGGCTTGAGCGGGGGGAGCGGAGGGGTGAACAGCTCCGTGAGCGAGGAGCTGAGATTCTCACCGCTCCACTCCGCTTATATGCTCTGGTACATACCCCAACCAGAAGCCATGGATTACAGGAAACATCCGCACTGAGCTAAAGGGTACAGCTGCCGCTTTCAAGGAGCGGGACTCTAACCCGGACGCTTATAAGAAATCCCGCTATGCCCTCCGACGAACCATCAAACAGGCAAAGAGTCAATACAGGACTAAGATTGAATCGTACTACACCGGCTCTGACGCTCGTCGGATGTGGCAGGGCTTGAAAACTATTACAGACTACAAAGGGAAGCACAGCCGCGAGCTTCCCAGTGACACAAGCCTACCAGACGAGCTAAACCACTTCTATGCTCGCTTCGAGGCAAGCAACACTGAAGCATGCATGAGAGCACCAGCTGTTCCGGATGACTATGTGATCACGCTCTCCGTAGCCGATGTGAGTAAGACTTTTAAGCAGGTCAACATTCACAAGGCCGCAGGGCCAGACGGATTACCAGGACGTGTACTCCGAGCAAGTGCTGACCAACTGGCAAGTGTCTTCACTGACATTTTCAACATGTCCCTGACTGAGTCTGTAATACCAACATGTTTCAAGCAGACCACCATAGTCCCAGTGCCCAAGGACACTAAGATAACCTGCCTAAATGACTACCGACCCATAGCAGTGACGTCTGTAGCCATGAAGTGCTTTGAAAGGCTGGTCATGGCTCACATCAACACCATTATCCCAGAAACCCTAGACCCACTCCAATTTGCATACCACTCCAACAGATCCACAGAAGATGCAATCTCTATTGCACTCCACACTGCCCTTTCCCACCTGGACAAGAGGAACACCTACGTGAGAATGCTATTCATTGACTACAGCTCAGGATTCAACACCATAGTGCTCTCAAAGCTCATCACTAAGCTAAGGATCCTGGGACTAAACACCTCCCTCTGCAACTGGATCCTGGACTTCCTGACGGGCCGCCCCCAGGTGGTAAGGGTAGGTAACAACACATCTGCCACACTGATCCTCAACACGGGGGCCCCTCAGGGGTGCGTGCTCAGTCCCCTCCTGTACTCCCTGTTCACCCATGACTGCATGGCCAGGCACGACTCCAACACCATCATTAAGTTTGCCGACGACACAACAGTGGTAGGCCTGATCACCGACAACGATGAGACAGCCTATAGGGAGGAGGTCAGAGACCTGGCCGTGTGGTGCCAGGATAACAACCTCTCCCTCAACGTGACTAAGACAAAGGAGATGATTGTGGACTACAGGAAAAAAAAGAGGACTGAGCACGCCCCCATTCTCATCGACGGGGCTGTAGTGGAACAGGTTGAGAGCTTCAAGTTCCTTGGTGTCCACATCACCAACGAACTATCATGGTCCAAACACACCAAGACAGTCGTGAAGAGGGCACAACAAAGCCTATTCTCCCTCAGGAGACTGAAAAGATTCGGCATGGGTCCTCAGATCCTCAAAAAATTCTACAGCTGCACCATCGAGAGCATCCTGACTGGTTGCATCACCGCCTGGTATGGCAACTGCTTGGCCTCCGACCGCAAGGCACTACAGAGGGTAGTGCGTACGGCCCAGTACATCACAGGGGCCAAGCTTCCTGCCATCCAGGACCTCTATACCAGGCAGTGTCAGAGGAAGGCCCTCAAAATTGTCAAAGACTCCAGCCACCCTAGTCATAGACTGTTCTCTCTGCTACCGCATGGCAAGCGGTACCGGAGTGCGAAGTCTAGGTCCAAAAGACTTCTCAACAGCTTCTACCCCCAAGCCATAAGACTCCTGAACAGCTAATCATGGCTACCCGGACTATTTGCACTGACCCCCCACCCCATCTTTTTACGCTGCTGCTACTCTGTTAATTATTTATGCATAGTCACTTTAACTCTACCCACATGTACATATTACTTCAACTACCTCAACTAGCCAGTGCCCCCGCACATTGACTCTGCACCGGTACCCCCCTGTATATATAGCCTCCCTACTGTTATTTTATTTTACTTCTGCTCTTTTTTCTCAACACTTTTTTGTTGTTATTTTACTTTTTTATTTAAAATAAATGCACTGTTGGTTAAGGGCTGTAAGTAAGCATTTCACTGTAATGTCTACACCTGTTGTATTCGGCGCATGTGGCCAATAACATTTGATTTGATTTGAACTAACTGTCAGCACACAGTACACTGGATCCCCTCAGCGTCATAGCTGCTGATCAGGAGGGTTTACTATATTAGGATTCCAGAGTGATTTTTCAGCTCCTCTCACCCTCTATGCCGTAAAGCATTTGTGGGCCAAGGAGAAGGTTAAACGCCCTGTCTAGTAAGTGCTTATTAATATATTCTACTGCTGGTTTGACTTCTTAAGATGCTCTGCAGGTGATCAAACTATCAAATACTATCATTTAGATGTATTACATATAAATTGGCTGTGAATCTATTTATATTGTATGCTGCGGTTGACTACCAATAAATGAAACTGACAGCCTTCAAGATTATCTTTGGCAGACTGACCAAAATAAGTGATACCTCACAGCCATTCACAGTTCTTGGGTAGAAGATTGACCCATAGAATTAGTAGTCCACCCATCATGAAACATTCACTTTATTGTGAATGTCCGTTCTAGTCGTTCTATTTCTTATAGATGTACCTACCTGGTTGTTCTGCATGTGTCCATTCTTGAAGTCCATGATCCGGGGGGTGAAGAGCGGGTCGTGCTGCTGGGTCGTCTCCACCCTCTCCAGCCTAGGGGATATGGGACGTCTCCCTCCACTCCCCATGTCTCCTCCGTCCCCCACCCCAACCCCGTTGGCCTTGTGGAGACACAGGACCTTCCTGAAGCTCTGCTTGAAGTTGTCCGACAGGAAGCCGTAGAGGAGCGGGTTGGCGCAGGAGTTGACGTAGGTCATGATGACCAGGAAGAAGTAGACGCCGGCGGTGACGCTGTTCTCTGGTATGATGAAGACGAGGTTGACTATGTTGGTGGTGAAGAAGGGCAGCCAGCAGATGACGAAGACCACCACGATGATGACCACCATGCGGGTGACTTTGCGTTCGGAGCGGCGCCGCCTGGTCAGGCCTGCCTTGGCCCCAGCAGACTTCACCTGTAATGAATGGGAGGTTTTGGTCAGTGACTTTGCATGTGGAGCGGCGCCGCTTGGTCAGGCCCGCTTTGGCCTCGGCAGACTTCACCTGTAATGAATGGGAGGTTTTGCTCAGTGACTTTGTGAATGAATATCTTTGGACATGGATACCTTTGAACATCACTATATTGAGAGGATTTATAGAGTGGTTTGGAGAGGTTAAAGACCCAGGCCAGGGTTTAAGGCACTGGTCCATTGGGTTTGGAAATGGAACCAAACCTAAGAACCATTAGAATTAAGTTTGGGACAGTGAGAAGAAGGGACTAGGGACTGAAATGGAATGTGGCCTCAAACAATGAACAAACAATGAACAACATAAGACTAAAGAGGATGTGGGTTATAGCACAAACCAACTATACCTTGATGATGATGAGCAGGTAGCAGAGGCAGATGATTAACAGGGGGCCGAAGAAGCCCAAGATGGCCGTGTAGAGGATGAAGACTGTTGACCACAGCTCCTGGGGATCAGGCCAGCTCATGTTGCACGAGTTGAAGCGGTCCTGCACATCTGAGTAGATGGTGACTGGCAGCACCACCACGAATGACACTACCCACACCATCCCGTTGATGATCTTAGCCACCTTCGGCTGCCGCCACTTGGCGCTCCGAATGGGGTGCACCACGGCCAGGTAGCGGTCAATGCTCATCACGGTCAGGCAGAAGGTGCTGGTGAACTGGTTGATGGAGTCTACGGTCATGACCACGCGGCACAGGAACTGCCCGAACGGCCAATAGGAGAGCACATTCTGGGTGGTCAGGAAGGGAAGTCCTAAGATGTACAATTCATCTGCCAGGGCTAAGTTCAGGAGGTACATGTTGGTGACAGTCTTCATCTTGGCATAGCGCAGGACCACGTAGATGGCCAGCGTGTTGCCCAGGAGTCCCACCATGAATACAGTCATAGAGATTACCGCGGTGATAACGGTGCTGCTGTCCTGGAAGGGAGCGCTCTCGCCGGACCCGTTCATGAAGGACTTGGTGACCGTGGAGTAGCCGATGGAGGAGGAGGAGAGGTTGAAGTCCCCAGGATTGGAGGTGCAGTCTTGGGGATTCATGGTGGGGAGGTGGGGGTGGGGTTGGAGGTCAGGGAGATGGATCAGGAAATGGCCCATAAGGCTGAAAATAAAAACAGAATTGTCAGTTATTGAGGATGGAAAATTGACATTCTAGTAGCCTAAAGTAATGGACATTTTGAATAGACCAGAATAGAAGAAGAATATAGAATAAATTAGAATAGAATTGAACATCATTAGTCATTCTGACATTTGTCTATGAAAACCATCTTATGGATGAGGGGTTGAGTGTTGTTTCAATGTGTTTGTTATGTAATACTGTGTTATTTAACCTTTTCCACTATACTGCTTCACCATTCCACTTTGTGCACCCACAACAGCACGTGGACATTCTCTGGGCAGGGGGCCCATATTGACACTGTTCTCTGTATACCTCATCAGAAGAACAGCAAATTTCCATGGACTACCTCAGGCAGGCATACAGTACATCCATGCACTTCTTCCACGTATTCCCCATGCCGCTTCACTACATAGCAGTCACCCTGCCACTGACTTGGTAAATAGCTGAGCGATGGGGCTGGAGAAATGTAACCAAAGTGGTCACCCCGCCACTGATTTGGTAAATAGCTGAGGCTGGAGAAATGTATCCACTCTCAAGTTCATAGACAGAGCTATGGATGCAAGGACTGACCTTCCATGATATCCAAATGATAGTTTTAACCATGTATTGAGGCTATACAGTGTTTCTTTACAATTGCATTGTTTACAAACAAATGCATATATTTGGGATTCTGATGGGGTTCTGATGGGGTAAGACAGTGGAACTAATCTCTTATACTCTTCAAGAATCAATGGGTTTATATGATGAATTTTCAATCCCAAAATGGATGTAGCAATCATAGATTGCCCCTACTTTAGGTTAAGACAGAAATGGTCAAGCAGGTTCCAATCAGCACAATTGGAGTAGGCTGGCTAATCTAGTCTATCAATGGGGTGCAAGTTCTGGACAATGCTGGTTGTATCTGAATGAAGACTAGGCTAGGTCAAGGGTTGACATTTATTGTTCCAGATGGGTTAGTGTTTCTGAGTAAACCCCCAGCCTTAGCTCCTGAAACCTGTTGCACCAATAAGTGGTCTGATGTGGGGATTCATTGAACCGCCATCCAAAACATTGGAATGACGTCCATTCAACAGCCTAGTGTTGTGACTACAAACAATTGCATGTGGCATGGAGGCGAAGTTGCATGAATCGGTTTGACATTTCTGTCAATCTAAATCAAAACTATTGTATGGACATAATTGTCTGACTCTCACAAGTGTTTGTTATCATGTTATATGAGCAGTTGACACTCCTATGCAGCATCCTATTAAGTCTGCAATAACATAGACTGTAATTGAATCTGATTTACAATAACAACTATTCTGCATTTTCCCCAAGGTAGCTTTGATTCGGGCAAAATAGGGCAACCAAAATCATGACAGTTTCTATTTTCACTCATGAAAAATGGCACTTTCCAGTGCCCGGAAGTTGTTTATATAATATTCTAATTTATACAGAAAATAAAGAAAACAGAACATTACTTTTTTAATAACTCATGTTTGTGCCATTTACAGAGGCAATCTGCAGATGCTACATCAATTTTTGGACCGTTACATGATTGATATATAGCCATTCATTATTGAATAATATACCTTATCAATGCTTCATGAGCTTAGTTCAACTGTAGTACCCCATCAGAAGCCAAAATGTAAGCTTGTTTTACTCCAATGTTTGTAAACAATGTTAATGTAAACAACCACTATAGCTTTAAAACATGGTAAAACTATCATTTCAATCTCATAGATGGTCAGTCCTTGCATCCATAGCTTTGTATATGAATTTCAGAGTGGTTATATTACTCAAGCCCCATCCCTCAGCTGTTTACCAAAACAAGTGGAGGGTGACCGCTTTGTAATATTTTGAACTGCAGATTGCCCCTTCAAACTACACTTTGCTATCTATAAAGGTCTAATCTCAGTTAACCCAGAACTAAAATCTCACATAATTCCTTTTTTTATGATCACGTAGTCTGTCCTTAAGAGATTAATAAAGGACACATTGAAGATAAACTGCCAGTGGCTTGATTTTAATTTCTTATGAACCTAATTTCTTAATCAAAATAATAACAGCGTATTATACAGTGACAATCATTCCCACATTAACATTAAGATGTTGGAAAAAGCTATGAAATGTCCATGATTGGCATAAGCCCACGGTAATGGAAGACTCATTATTGTAGTCTTCATCCTCATTAAATCTTCATAGTCCGTGTAACAAAAAAAGAAAGTTACAGTGCGTTCGGAAAATATTCATACTGCTTGACTTTTTCCACATTTTGTTGCGTTACAGCCTTATTCTAAAATTCATGAAATTGTGTTTTTTTTCACTCATCAATCTACACACAATACCCCATAATGACAAAGCAAAAACAGGTTTTTAGAAATGTTAGCAAATGTATAATAAAAACAAAAACGGAAATATCACATTTACATTAGTATTCAGACCCTTTACTCAGTACTTTGTTGAAGCACCTTTGGCAGCGATTATAGTAATAATAATAATATGCCATTTAGCAGACGCTTTTATCCAAAGCGACTTACAGTCATGCGTGCATACATTTTTGTGTATGGGTGGTCCCGGGGATCGAACCCACTACCTTGGCGTTACAAGCGCCGTGCTCTACCAGTTGAGCTACAGAGGACCACGACACTCGAGCCTCGAGTCTTCTTGGGTATGACGCTACAAGCTTGGCACACCTGTATTTGTGGAGTTTCTCTCATTCTTTTCTGCAGATCCTATCAAGCTCTGTCAGGTTGGATGGGGAGCGTCGCTGCACAGCTATTTTCAGGTCTCTCCAGAGATGTTGGATTGGGTTCTGGATGGGCCACTCAAGAACATTCAGAGACTTGTCCTGAAGCCACTCCTGTGTTGTCTTGGCTGTGGGTTGCTTTAGGGTTGTTGTCTTGTTGGAAGGTGAACCTTCGCCCCAGTCTGAGGTCCTGAGCGTACTGGAGCAGGTTTTCATCAAGGATCTCTCTGTACTTTGCTCCATTCATCCCTCGATCCTGACTAGTCTTCCAGTCCCTGCCGCTGAAAAACATCCCCACAGCATGATGCTGCCACCACCATGCTTCACTGTAGGGATGGTGCTAGGTTTCCTCCAGACGTGATGCTTGGCATTCAGGCCAAAGAGTTCAATCTTGGTTTCATCAGACCAGAGAATCTTGTTTCTCATGTTCTGAGAGTCCTTTAGTGTGGGCTGTCATGTGCTTTTTACTGAGGAGTGGCTTCTGTCTGACCACTCTACCATAAAGGCCTGATTGGTGGAGTGCTGCAGAGATGGTTGTCCTTCTGGAAGGTTCTCCAATCTCCACAGAGGAACTCTGGAGCTCTGTCAGAGTGACCATCAGGTTCTTGGTCACCTCCCTGACCAAGGCCCTTCTCCCCCAATTGCTCAGTTTGGCCGGGCGGCCAGCTCTAGGAAGAGTCTTGGTGCTTCCAAACTTCTTCCATTTAAGAATGATGGAGGCCACTGTGTTCTTGGGGACCTTCAATGCTGCAGAAATTGTTTGGTACCCTTCCCCAGATCTGTGCCTCGACACAATCCTGTCTCGGAGATCTATGGACCATTCTTTCGACCTCATGGCTTGGTTTTTGCTCTGACATGCACTGTCAACTGTGGGACCTTATATAGACAGTTGTGTGCCTTTCCAAATCATGTCCAATTTACCACAGGTGGACTCCAATCAAGTTATAGAAACATCTCAAGGATGACCAATGGAAACAGGATGCACCTGAGCTCAATTTCGAGTCTCATAGCAAAGGGTCTGAATACTTATGTAAATAAGGTATTTCTGTTTTTTATTTTTAATACATTTGTAAAAATTTCTAAAAGCCTGTTTTCACTATGTCATTACGGGTTATTGTGTGTAGATTGATGAGGAATGTTTTTATTTAATCCATTTTAGAATAAGGCTGTAACGTAACAAAATGTGGAAAAGGGGAAGGGGTCTGAATACTTTCCGAATGCACCGTAATAAAAATAGAAAATGTGTGTCTGCTAGCTTGTCTTTAAGTATTTATGGTTGATAGGATAGGATAGGATAGGATAGGATAGGATAGGATAGGATAGGATAGGATAGGATAGGATAGGATAGGATAGGATAGGATAGTATTGGATAGGACAGGATATGATAGGATAGGATAGCCTGAACATGTGAAAGTTGGTTTGGTGTCTCTAACGTGTACTGTTCAAGTTTCAAGTTTTAAAAAAAGTCGTAAAGAATACACATGGTATACACCATCCAACGAAATGCTTACAATACAGCATCATAACGAAATGCTTACAATACATGTTCCTTCTCAACAATAATAGGTCATAAAAAATAAGAATACAAACATAAAGTTACTGTTATAGATGGTGGGTTATGTTATGTTAATTTATGCTAATTTCAACCGTTTCAATAATTTAGGCCGAGACTATGAATATGGAGTTTACGCCCCCCGCCCCTCTGGAAACTTCTCTCCCAAAACTAAGGATCCGAATCACGTTCTGCGCATCATAATTCTGAACAGCTGAAATAAAAATGTGGTGGCGATTTGAACAAACATTCCAAAAATATATACACTGAGTGTACAAAACAGCAACACCTTCCTAATATTGAGTTGCACCCCCTTTTGCCCTCAAACAACCTCAATTCGTCAGGGCATGGACTCTACAAGGTGTGGAAAGCATTCCACAGGGATGCTGGCCCATGTTGACTCCAATGTTTCACACAGTTGCATCAAGTTGGCTGGATGTCCTTTGGGTGGTGGACCATTCTTGATACACACGGGAAACTGTTGAGTGTGAAAAACCCAGCAGTGTTGCAGTTCTTGACACACACTCAAGCAGGTGTGCCTGGCACCTACTACCATTCCCCGTTCAAAGGCACTTCAATCTTTTGTCTTGCCCATTCACCCTCTGAATGGCACACATACACAATCCATGTCTCAATTGTCTCAAGGCTTAAAAATCCTTCTTTAACCTGTTTCCTCCTCTTCATCTACACTGACTGAA